TGGAGGTTGAAGTCTCCGAGAAGTACAGCGGGAGGGCCAGTTTCAGGGATGAGTGATAGGAGATTATCTAATTCCTCCAAGAAGTCCCCCAAGGCGCCTGGTGGACGGTAGAGAACAACAATGGTTAACTGTATAGGATGGGTTACTGTGACGGCATGGAATTCAAAGGTGGAAGGAGTGAAGTTAGGTAGCTTGAAGAGGGAAAAGCTCCATTTGGGAGAGAGCAGGAGACCAGTGCCACCTCCTCTGCCAGTGGGTCTGGGTGTATGGGAGAAGGAATATGCAGTGGAGAGAGCTGCTGGGGTGGATGTGTTGGATGGAGTAATCCAGGTCTCAGTGAGAGCAAGGAAATCCAGAGACTGCAGGGAGGCGTAGCCAGAGATGAAGTCAGCCTTAGGAACAGCTGACTGGCAATTCCACAGGCCACCTGAAACTAGATGTTGGATCTCAGTGGAGCACGTGGGATAGACGAGAGCAGGCCGATTATATCGATTAGGAGATACACGGGGCCAGTGATAATTGCGAGAAGACACATGAACAGGAATGGAGAAAATACACATGATTATAGCATGAGGGGCTAGAAAACTAAAGAAAAGATAAATAAGACACCAGCTCAATCAGAGTTTGCCTCCCTCGTGACTCCCGCAGGACTCCAATGTCTTTGTCAGTCTTACTCCCGCAGGACTCCAATGTCTTTGTCAGTCTTCGGCTGTCTGACGCTGAAGCTGACGCTCCAGGAAAGAGCTACCCAAAAATGGATACAGCACTCGCCGCCCCTGGACACAGTGAAATCGGTGTTGGTTGATATTGTGGAGAGGGTGATACATCGGTACAGAGAAGAAATCTGCAACGGGTGCCGAGTCAGTCACCACGGCCAGAGGCAACACGATTTTTTCTTCAGAAACAATTACAACACGTTAATGAAAAGACTCTGTCTCTCCGACTTCATTACTGAGATCGACCAGACTCTTATTGATAAAGACATTTTCACGGATGATTGGAGGATCCAAGGCGCTTCGGAGGCTTTTCTTCACAATCTCAAAAATTGCAGACGCCTCAAGGAGAGACTTGAAAAGATCCATGCCGAGTTGGATGGAGAAGAAGAAGACTAATAACCAGCAGTTGACTGAAGCCAGGGATTTGTTCGATACATTGACTTTTTTTTCTTTAAAGTAAAATAAAAATGGGAAACTACTATACAAAACGCTCTGTATATATTGATCATAATGTAGTCAATACCCTTTTAATAAGGGTGGTGATGAGAACGATTGAAAACAGAACGAGTAGTGACCCCTGTGTAAAAAGAATGGCTGAAGTTTGTAAACTGGAAGACATTCTGGATATCGTTCGTTCTGGCAGTACTATTCCGGGTCATTGGGAAACGATTGTAAACGAAACATTTAAAGTGGTCCTGGAATCTTCATTTACCGAAACATTCTGTAACATTACCGCAGAAATGAAACAAACATCAAAAGTGTATCATGTGCTCTCATTGTATGCTCATTGTAAGCTCCTGCTCTACCGAGTCTCTTTCCTGAGTCGGTGTTTTCTGTAGATGTAATGCATCTTTGTGTCGAAAACAGCATACACATGAATATTTATTTAAAAAATGTAAATAGGACATTTTTAAAAAATAAAAAAAGTGTTTTTTTACATTTAAAAACTGTTGTCTTCATTATAGCAAGGGGAGCGTGTCTGATACATGTGTATTACAGTCCTTCACATGCACTGTTGTCTTCATTATAACAAGGGGAGGATAACAGGGAAGATGTAGGATAAATGTGTATTGAAACATGCGTATTATACACCCACAGAAACACAGACACACAGAAAACACTAGTATGGTTTTTGTGTTTTCAGTGTTTTCTGTGTCTGTACACACAAAGCACAAATCATTTAAAACAAACCCTGAATCAAATTTAGAGAGGACCATTAAGAGTCAGATGCTTGACGAAATATACTAAAACAAAGTACTTCATTATCTATTTTTCAGCTTTTTATACACAAAAGTGTATCTTTCAGTAACTTTCTCAGAGAATTTAAGCATAAATCTGTCAAATGTTCAAAACAGCCTTGTTTCACTGAAATAGCCTCAAAATCACAAACTGCCATTAAGAGTCAGAATCCTAATTAAATCTACTAAAACAAAGTACTTCATGGTAGTGGTCAGCTTTTAAACACAAAAGTGTATATTTCAGTAACTTTCTGAGAGAATTAAACATAAATCTGTCAAATGTTCAAAACAGCCTTGTTTTACTGAAATAGCCTCAAAAACACAAACTGCCATTAAGAGTCAGATGCTTTACGAAATCTAATAAAACAGAGTACTTTCATGGTAGTGGTCAGCTTTTAAAAAGAAAAGTGTATCTTTTGGTAACTTTTTTGAGAGAATTAAGCATAAATCTGCCAAATGTTCAAAACAGCCTTGTTTCACTGAAATAGCGTCAAAATCACAAACTGGCTGAAACTGTACAGTGAATTGGAGAAATTACAGCACAGAGTTTTCTACTACGACACAGATAGTATAATCTATGTGACAAGACAGGGGGGAGACTCCACTGCGCATAGGGGTTTATCTGGGGGATCCCTAAAAGTTATGCTTACCAGACCAAAAATCAAAAAAGGTTGTGATGCGTTTGTGTAATCCCTTTCACACGCATCATTTTTGATTTTTGGTCTGGCATGCACCAATCAGTGAGCGAGGCCAATCAGTCCAATCCAATCAGTCCAGTCCAATCAGTGAGGGGGCGGGGCGAGTGTCTGAGGATTTTATCGAAGGATGGTCTGGTGGTTCCTCGATTATAGCTCCTCCATTATCGCTCCTCCGGCAAAAATAAGGCCATTGGGACGCTACTCAAGATGGCGCAGACAAATCAACTTCCGGTGAGACCGAGGAGCGAGGAAATGAAAAATAAGAGTAGTGAGAAAGGGCCAGTGTAAAAATTACAAGCTTCTGCTATCTTTGATGAGCGATAACATTATTTTTGGCCATACGTTTTTCATAAGACTGATGAAGTTGGAATCAGTTGTAGTTACAACTATCCCAAATACTATGAAATACCTTTACTGTGTAGCCTACTTCTTGATACTCTCCTGTCAACAACAATGCCTGTCTTGCTGCTATATGTGACGAGCAATACAAATACTTTTAAGTTCTTAAGAAGACTGATAATTTTGGACTCAGTAGTTACACTAATAGCGCAAAGACTATAAAATACTTTTAGGCCCAATCCCAAACCACTCCCTCGACCCTACCCCTCCGTGATGGAGTGAACTCCGTCTGTAGCCACACTCTCAGCTCAACGAGGCTCCCTCCTGTCAGACGGAGGGAGTAAATACAGCCGCAAGCTTTGGGACGGCCTCCCCTCTCTCCGGCAGAAACAGGAAATACCGTAACTGTATGTAACAACGGTTTCAAATCAGCATCTCTTAGACAAAAAGTTTAAATGAATAACTCAAATAAAACTCCAAACATCTTTCATTGTGTTTCAAAGCTCTTTTAGTTTTAAACCTGATGTTTATAAGCTTCTTAGTTTTTGCAACGGTCTGTAAATATACACAACTTTATAATAAAATGCACACATTTACCTTTTTCTAGACTAAACACAGGTATGATCCTAAGTTAAAAACATATGAGGTTGTCATGAGGTTGTTAACATCTCAATTTATCAGTGGATGTTTGCTGGAACTGTTGTGGAATATTTTCCACGGCCCATAACTTTGACCCAGTTTATCAGTTCAAACTGTACTGACTGAGCACACGCACCTCGTAACCTTGGCTGCTGTGCTCTCAGTGTTCTGTCTCCCTGTTCCTGCCTGTTGGCGTCAGCTGATAGAGGTGTTATGATTCTATGTTCCTGCCTGTTGGCGTCAGCTGATAGAGGTGTTATGATTCTATGTTCCTGCCTGTTGGCGTCAGCTGATAGAGGTGTTATGATTTTATCTTGTTATGCAGCATGTTGATGATGCTCTCAGAACTAGCTAAATACATGGGTCTGAGGTAGAGTTCTTTAGAATTGACGTGGCAACCCACCCGTGCAGTCTCACCGTGACTGCTGTGACTTGTGATGTGAATTCTCCGGCCGAAACTCCAAATAAACCATCAGTGTTTGACATCGAAGCTCCTGCTCTACCGAGTCTCTTTCCTGAGTCGGTGACTCCCACTGCATTGCTACACAGAAGTTTTCCCTTACAGGAACTACTTGTAAACAGCGTATTTCCTGACGGACACACACAGCGTGACTCCGGTCAGGTAGAGACCGGTCTCAAGTCAGCACCGCTGCAGACTGGCTGTTTGAGGGCTTGATAGCCCACTCCCCCTCCACACTCGTTGCTTTGGAACAGCCCTCAATATGGCGGACCCTCCGCGTGAACGCGCAAACGGAGGGGTAGGGTGTAGGGGTAGGGTGTGGTTTGGGAATGGGCCTCAGTTTGTACTTTCAAAGAAATCCTCTGTCAAATTGTCCACCCTGAATACCCCATGCAGATGCTCCTGTTGTCTGTCAAACACAAGCAGAAACATTACTTTCCAAAAATGGAAAGTTATCTTGGTCCCGCTCCCCACGTGAAAAACAGGGTAAGTTTATTGCTGCTAATGTAATGAAAATGGCTCCAGGCCCCACAAGATACGCTGTCAGCCATGTCTAAGACCTGAAGTCAGCATTGAGCTCTTCATAACACCATCAATAGAGGATTGATAGACAATATACTTGAGATTGTGAATTTAAAGGTGAGGTGCATGCATGGGACAGTTAGGAGTTGGGTGGGAACCACTTACAATCCCACATTGGGTTGTTCATTTTGACAGGAGCGCAGAAATCAAAAAAGGGAGGGAACGGCATGCCTTTGGAATGCTGGAAGGGAAATATTTCCATATTGACCCCAAACACAATACATGTTACTATCCTTGATAATATACTGTACATTTCTTAAATGCCAAAATTGTACTTGGAAATAATATAGATCCTTTAACAACAGCAAAAAAATCATCCTTTAAAATGTTACGTCAATCAGTGAGATTTTATGGTGATTTATATATTTTACAATGGTCACATAAGAATTATGGATGTATAATGCTGTGGGTGGAGGTGGGGGTAGTATTTTATTTAAATGGGTATTTAGATAGTCAACTAAGATTCAATAGAAATGCTGCCCGAGTAAGAAGCTATACAGAAATATGTGTTACAAATATAAATGTGTTATTTCTACATGTTAAAGAATATACTGTTTCTGTACTGAAGTGTTCAAGAGAAGTACAACAAAAGAAAATAAAGTAACTTCTATCCACATCACATATTCAAGGATAGTTAGGTTGATGACTTTGCACACTCTGCAACATCCAACTTCCTGCCGCTGCTGCACATTTTGGCCAGATTCTGTTAAAGCAGAAAGCAGAATTAGTATTTAAAGGAACTCCTGGATGGAAATTAAGTTCTTGCAGGCAATTCTTACATTAGCTGCTCGGGTGATGCTGCCTGGAGACTGGAGGGCTGCGAGGTCTGTTAGGATCTTCTGCAGATCTCTGTTACTTGGACCTGAAACAGGAGAGCACAGGTCAGAGTCACATGGGGAAAAGCAACGTAGGCAATGATGTGTGTGTGTGTGTGTGGTCCGTGTGTGTACCTCTTTCTGCAGGTGAATGCTGTAGGTACGGATGATCCAGCAGCTCTTTTAAGGAAATCCTCTCTCTGGGGTTTCGTACCAAGCAGCTCTGCAGATAAAAACAGCTTTTTTGTAATTTACCAATTCAACACAACTGCCTGGAAAAATAATTTGACACATTTTGCAGTCTTTTTGCATATTAGAAACGGAGTTGGCGACACTAAAACTGCAATATAATGTTTGTGTAGCAATAATAAATATTTTTTTACATGTCTCCAGTACCGATAAAAAGACCGATAACGTCGGAGCTTAACGGTACCACGGTCTTTAATAAGTCAGCCCCGGGGCCCGTTTAATACCAGGGCTCGGTACCCATCCCTAGTTATGATAGTAGGTTATGTCTGTTTTCATGTATAGAGTTATTTTTGTCTCCTTTGCTTTTTCTTGTTTTACTCAAAACTAAGTGATGTTTTTAATTATTGTACCACACACACACACACACACACACACACACACACACACACACCTAATATTGAATCATATTTATGTTATGCCCTTACAATGGCCATTGACATTATGCTACATTGTAGCGTAGTAATCTTCAGCGAACCGCTTCAACACGTGTATTTCGGTTTATTCACAGCATTCATTTTGTTATTCTACAGTATTATTGTTTTATAGTTATTTGTTAATGTAACCCAATTTGTGTTCTTTGAAATTGAAAATGATATTGCATTGTGTGTGTTACTTTCGTTGCAGTTGTATATGTCTTAAGTGTAATTTGGCTTGGCTTCCTATTTTGTATGGACATGCTTTTATTTTGAAGGAGAGTTAGCGCTGTTGACAGGAAGTTGTTGTTGCTATGGAAACAACATGACGGAGATGAACGGGGAAAAAGTAATATCTACATATAAAGACGGAGAAGGTAAACGATAACATTTATGGTTAAGTGTTAGCACCACCCGAAGAGGCACAAGCTCTTACGTTGATACTGGAGTTTTCAATAAATTCTATTTGGCAGCCGCAGTGCAGCGCGGCTACCAAAAAAACCGAATAACGAAATTGAAACCCGAATAGTATTCCAACGAACGAATATTCGGATATTCGGGTACAGCCCTAGTAGGATGTCGATCATGCTTTTGATTCTGATGATTCATTCCAAACCTCATTCGGAGTGATTATCAATTCAAAATCAACACTGTAACACCCCTCGTTACATCCATTTTGGCAAAGGCCATAATAAGCAAGCTTACCGTAATTTAAAGTATCCCATAAGAACGCTAAATACTGCCAAACTTGTGAAATGTACCCTATATATATATTTGTGTTCACATCACAATAAGTTAGTTTAGTCGTGGTTTCTCACCTTCAACACATCCAGCAGATCCTTCTCCGAGATGTCAGGAAATTCGATAGGGTGGGAGGTGTCGATGATGGCGTGCAGCTTGGCGATCTGATTGGTGATGCTTTGGAAGGGAGTCTTCCCGTACGTCATGCAGTACAGGATACATCCCAGCGACCACACGTCACCTTTTGTACAGATCTTTAGGATAAATAAACAAAAACAAAATTGTTTTCACCACTGTGCTGAAATTATGAATTATTCCATCATGGTTGTTGAAGTGACTTGGTGACAGTACCTTAGATCGTGATTGTCCTGGCTGGGACGAAGTGTCTTTGATGGCTTCAGGGGGCATGTAGCTCAACGTTCCAACCTGGGTTTAATAAAAAACAAAGTGTTACATAAGTAGAGGTATTTCCATCTGAACTGTAGATCTAAAACAGCCGTCAGAATATATTTAAAACATAAACAAACATTTGAATGCTGCACAGTTTCTCTTTTTATTGCATGTCTATTCATTGTGTTTTAAGCCAGTATTTTTGCAAAGTGGCAGATAACAATGAGTCTACACTTATATTAGAATATTTGTAGAAGTAGACAAGATAGTAGGGCTGTGCAATTAATCGTATTTTAATCTCGATTACGATTGTGGCTTGCAACGATTACGAAAACAACGTAATCGAAATAAAGATTATTTTGCTGCGTGCGCTTTCGCCCCTCCCTAAAAGCCCTCTCGGCCAGGTTGTGAGCGAAAATAGTTGTATGAGTTCAGCGCGAGCGAAGATGGCAGAAAAAGAGCAACTCGTGAACAAGAAAGGTAAAAACCAATTCCGCTGTTTGGAAATACTTTTGGTTTAACCTCTTAAGCCATAGGATGGTGACTGTAACGCACATATTAACAGGTATGCTCCTCTGAAATGATTGTCCCCTGCAATTATTATTATCCCTCACCTGAATAATTTACAAGATCCACATCTTGTCTGAACCAAAAGTAATATTCTGCTTCATCGATATTTGTTCCTGTTAACCCTTTCAATAGCAACATTTTGTATATGGTCACCAAAAATTACGCTCTCGCTCGGCGGACACAAAGACAGCCCGCTGACCTGTGTTAACTGTGTGTCGAAGCAGAAATCAGACAGCACCATAAAATCATTTATATCACCACGTTGACAAAAGTTCTACTTGAGTTATCCTCATAAATCAAATGTGAATAAATAGAAATAAACAATTTAATCTTGTCAATTTTGTTAGAGGATTTTTAGGGTCATAACCTAATAGAATATGACAATAAAAAAACATTATAAGCTTAATTCAAAGCATCAAAAAGGAATTGGGTACAGCAGTATATAATATATTATTATTTGTCATGTATTTGTTGTGCATGTTTTTCTCTTTTGTCTGCTCACCTGTCTGCAGCTTCTAAAGAATATCTGGTTCTTAATACACTTTAACTAGATTTAAACTTCGATTTCATTTTTTTTTTTTTGTAAAGATCGCACAATTTACATTACTTGTCAAATCTGAATGTGTTCATTTCGTGTATGAAATAAATCTAACCTGTGAATTCTTCATAATGCTCGTCACGTCTGGTTGGATTGTGTTTGCGATGCCAAAGTCAATCAACTTCACCGAACCGTTCACAAGGACAAAGTTTGCCGGCTTTAAGTCACTGTGGATGATTCCTGCATGGAGGACACAGAGGACATTTGGAATGGTTAGAAATGAAGAGTGTGCCTTTTAATAAACAACACTGGGATTGGATGATGGAATAATGAGAAAGAGAAAGAGCACCGTGGCTGTGGATGGTGTGGACGGCCTCCAGCATGTTCTTCCAGTAGAACTTCCTGTCCAGTGGAGTCACAGTTTTGCGGTTCCTCAGCCAAGTGTTCAGATCCAAGTTCCCACACTCCATCAGCATGTAGATGTAGCTGTTGGTTATTTCACTGGAAACACAAAGACACATGTCATGGTTTTTGTAACAGAAATCTAAATTACCTGTAGACTTCAAGAGCTGTTATGGAGTTTAATTTTCTGTGTAAAATGTGTCTTAACGGCTGAAATACCCAAACGTATCACAAAGAAAGATGTACATTTTTCATCTAATAAGAACAAAGCTTTGTTGCGCACATATACTGTACTTTGTTCTATGAGAGGACAGGGTGGAAGTAAATTCATAACCTTTCAAGCTCTTTTAACGTAACCAAAAACAAATATATATCAAGAATCTCAAATACTTAATCGTCATATCTGAATGGTTAGTATAAATGATATTGAACAAAAACATAATGTAAACATTTCTTTTCTTTTTTTATTCCTTTAAATCAACAATAGTAACCAGGGCTCGACAGTAACGGTTGCCAGGTTGCCATTGGCAACCATTCATAAAAAATGTCAACCACTTCTTGGCCTTTGGTTGCGTGGCAACCAGTTTTTAACATAAAGAAATAAGGACAGCAAACAGAAAAATGTGCACCCCAAAATAGATAAATGTTAATTATTTGTTGTATTAAGAGTGATATTTAATTATTGTTGTGACCAGTCGGAACCTGATACTTAAGTTGCACGTGCATTGGTGCGATTACGGAGCAAGAAAGCAATGCACGTTTACTCGCGTACGCACTGCGCGGTGCGCCCAAGCCCCCAGGAAGTGCGCCGGACTCAGATGAAAATATTCGTGGTGGCCAAACGGCGGTACTACACTTCCGTTTGTTTGCCAGGCCCGGAAACACTTTTTCCCATTGACTTACATGGGGAAAGAGTGCTCTGTAAATCGTTGGATTTTTTTTTTTTTAAACTAAATAAACTACCCAGTATGAACGTTTGTATAGCCCTTATTAAAAACATTTGTTCCTCAAGTTGTAAAAATGTGCTAATAACGTTATTCTGAGAGTTATTTCCCTCTGCATTATGAACGCGCATCTAACCCACGGGACCGCGCCGCCCGGCACGTTCATGTGATGCGACGTGTTCAGCACTACATGAGTTTTACCGGATGCACAATAAGAACGGACCCATATCACCTTACTGCCAGCCCACGGAGCTGTAATAATGGATATATTGCACATGTTTGCTGTAATTCATCATTTGTAAAATATTATACTACATGGGCTGTATGATGTAAATCTTGTACCGTAAATCTTGTATTAAATAAAGTTAATATTACCGACGTAGATTAACGTCCCTGTAACTTCTTATTGCACTTGCAATATACCAGGGGTCGGCAACAGGCGGTCCGGATCCGGACGCCGACCCGGAGCTATAATCAATAGATTAATAGGGGATTTTTCGGCACCTCCCGCTTTTTTTAACGCTGATTTGGGTGACTTGTGTAATTCGTGGAGAACCGAAGAGTTTTCGTTTTGGGGGTGGGGAGTCCGTCCGTCAGTCCGACTGACGGACAACTTCTCACTTCAAAAAAGAAGAAATCTAGACTGCAAAAATAATTAAACAAGCGAGTACCTGTTTTTCCTGGCCAAGGAAACACAACACGAGCGTAACGTGTCTTCACGTGGTATATGTCTCGTCTGAAAGGAGTGTAGACTAGTGCTGACGGAGAGCACCGGAACGCCGCTCCAGCTCTTCAAATATTGCAGTACCCATAAGGAGCCGTACACATGCCGCAGTGTTTGCGTGGCTGTGTTTTTAGTTGTAAGGACAGTGGCGATCTGTTGTTGTTAGCATCTGGTTAGCTAGCTATGCTAACGAATTTAAAGAGCTTTTCTACAACCAGGTGGAAGAGAGCTCTCTCCTGAGAGGCTCAAATAACCTCAGCTCAGTGAGGTTAAGGCACAACTTGATATGATCATTATAGTTATTAATGACACTAAATGAAAAACAGGTATAAAATACTATATGACAGTAACAAAAAAGTTGTTAAAAACAACAAGAATTGAGTTTAAAAGGAGAGTGATTTGTAAAATATCCAAAAAGAAAAATCTGCTTACAGTTCTGTTTCATATGGGTGTTGAGAGATGTATCCATAGATCTCTTCATGTTGCTCTCAAAGTGTACCAGATTGATGCTTTTAACTTCAATATTTAAAAAAAAATCTTCCCTAGAGGAGAGGAGGTTAGGTTCCCCCCCCCCACTTAAATCATGTTCACATGGATAGGATACTAAATACATTTGCACACATCTTGTGTCCATATCTTTCTGTTTTGGTGGTCATGCCACACCGTGCACATGCATGCATACGTGAGTCATGGTGAGATATCTGGATTAAGAGGTTGCTTTTTCTTTGCACAGCATGAAAGAAAGGCGAAATGAATGGGATGAGAGTTTAGTTTTTTAAAGCAGAGGTTGAGTTCAATAATTTGTACGACCCTCGGAGGATGTTGTAAAAATTGAAAGGAAAAAGGTTCCCCACCCCTGCTGTAAATAATAATAAAAACCCTTGATTTATAACTTAACATCTCTGTCTCCTATTGATCTGAGTATATTATAAAGAATAGCCAGTTAATTGAAGCATTATAGCACAGGCCTTTGTCAGATGGTATATTACGCAGTTTTTTTCCTGCTTCGAATAGTTCTCTCTTTTGGTCTGTGTTTGCATCACTGTAACCAATGAGCACCTGCATGTGTGAATGAGAATGGCCCTGACACCATTTCAGCCCAGATTTACAAACTCCTGGCAGGACAAGCTCCAGCTCAATTCTCACACTGAATTTAAAAAAAGTGAGTGAGGGACTGCAATATAAGAGGGAAAGAAAGAGAAACTTTAAAACTGTTCAATTGTTATGATGTGTAAAGACTGATATTGTTCTATAATCGGCTGAAACTGTTAAGTCATGATGTGAAACGGTTAACAAAGAAAAAGGGACACTCAAGCTGCTGCTACACTTTATTTTATTTATCTAAAATTAAGCACTTTTAAGATGCACATATTTTCAAAAGCTATTTTATTTATTTTCTCTATTTTATTTTCAAATGCAGCCCGAGAGGAACATTACACATATCCACAGTATTTACTGTATAGTTCAATGTTAATCAGAGGTGGGGACTCGAGTCGCATATTTTTTGACTTGAGACTTGCTTGACTAACATTGATCAAAGACTTGACTTTGACTTGGTATTCATGACTTGAGACTTGACTTAAGCTTGAGACAGATGACTTGAAAGGACTTGACTGTTTAAAATTAAATATTTGCGTTTGTTTTTGTAGTGAGATTTTATGTTTAGTTTTTTCAAAAAACGTGATTATAGCACCATGCGCGCAAACCTGGCAACCCACTAGAAGGCAGGAGTCTCAGTTAACATGGCAGCGGCTAGCTTTACTCCACAAATAGTGAAGTTTGGATTCAAGAATTATTTTGTCGATGACGGTAATAAGAAGAAAACAGCGGTATGCAGGGTCTGCAGCATACAGATCAGTGACACGACCACCACAACATCCAACTTCATTCGTCACTACAAAAAAACCCACAGAGAAAGGTACGTGCATGTGTTGTGTTAGCTAGAAAGCTAACGTTAAGTTTAAGCTACATTAGACTTGGTTTCATATCGATTAAGCAAAGAGAAGACAAAACGGTAAATTAACACTAGAACCTCCAAGGGATTCATTTTGACTAACCCTGATAGTGACGGGCTGTCAGGAGAGGGAGAGAGAGAGAGAGGAAAAGAGATGCGTCGTTTATTTCCCCTGTGTTATTATCAGAAGTTACTGTAAACTTTTGAATAATGTAGTTCATCTACTTTTAGTAGTTTGTTTAAATGTTTTAATGATGTTGTTTTTGTTTGTAGAAGTGCATCATTCCTTGATTTATTGTAAAATTAATCTGAACTTTTTGATCTGTTATGATAAACTGAAGCAATTTCTACATTAACCCAATTAAGTGAGTTTTAAATCGTCCTACTTAGATTTATAAGGAAATTATGAAGAGGAACAAATTAAATGATTTGAAAATTATATCTATGTAGGTGCTGATGCTGTTGGCGGTTCTAGTGTTAACAGAAATTTAAATTAAATATGTGTAATGGCAAATGCCATATATGATTTTCTTACCTGGAATTCTGCCTTTTTGAACAGACTTTTTGAGTCCTAGCTATATTGTCTGCAGTTCTAGGGTTAATATTGATCTTATATGATTGTCATCGATCTAAATTAGATTTCAAATGATTAACTGTGTATGTAATGAAGATCATAGTGTGGGTTGAATCCATTTTCATAACCACTGTCTTTTAACTGATTTAAATGCGGAAACGTATTCATCAGAATTATAGCCTGTGTTGTATATGTATACACACACACAAATGAACAACCTTGTGTGTGTCAAATAACAAGTTGTATTGTAGTGTTTATTTTAGTGTTGTTTTATGCTTATCCACATTTTGATTTCAGAGCACAGGAGAATGCTGGGCACAACATAAAGCTCAACAGTGAAGCTGGCAATGCTGAACAAAACCATCACTAGATCCTGTTACATCAGCGTAATATTGTAATACATAACGATTGATGTGCACATTAGCATAATTACTAATGGCTCTGCCGTTACACTAGCTAGCCGCTAACTGCCGCCTCGTTATTCGTTAATATAAAATCCATCATAACAATCCAGAACGCGTGGTGCTGTTACGTGTACGCAAATTGACGTGCTTGATGTGAACGAGCCTTTTGGGGGGCGTGGTTAAAGTTGCGCATGCTCTATGAGCGCACATACGGGAACTTCTCAGGCATGCTGGGTAATCTGTGACGTTTCACTCTCTCAAAAGTTGGGCCATTTTGTCATTCATGCGCCAACTATTAATTTGAGTGGTTATTCAAATGATCCTTGATTGTATCTTTTGATCACAATTGTTTAATGCATGGCTAGCTCCTTTTCATGAGAATAAAAACAAAATCACTGACATAAGGGTTCAATTTGCAAATAAAAATTAATACAATTAAAATAATACATGTTCACAACCTAGCCTTGAGGTTAAATGAGTTATATATGAACCCTGCATATACTCACTAGTCGTAGAGCTTGATGATTTGATCGCTGTACAGCTGCAGGTGGTTCAGATGCTGAATCTCATTTTTGTAGCTCTCTACCATCTGAGCGTCAGCTTCCTCCAGGTTGACGTATTTCACGGCAAACAGCTGATTTTTGTGATCCAGGACCTGGTAGACCTAAAAAAACAAGACATTTATTATAGTAAAACATCATCACAGGCAAAGTGTCGGAATGCTGGATCACAATATGAGTTGTCTACGTATCCATTACCTTGCTGGACCCGCCACATCCTATCATCTTGAGAATAATGAACCGTTTGCCCTTAATGGTGATGGTGTCATTTGACAACGCAGAGAGAGAAGCCTAGAATAAAAGAAGAAAAAAAGAACACAATTATTAATTTATTACATATGTTAGTAATTTCATAACAGAGAAATCTCATTCTACATGTCCAGATACACAATGCATTTCCTGTCTGCCTCATCATTTTATTTATCAGTGATGCAGGTCACAGATTACCCAGGTTTTATCTTATCATACGGTTTATAGTTTAGTTTAATTGTCCTAGCTGTAACTGAAACATCAGAATACTTTATTTATCCCGTGGAAAATTAAGCTTAATGACAGTTGCTGAATTTTATAATTAAATGCATAAATAATAAAAAATTTAATAAAATACAAAAAAATACATAATAAAAAACATATGTTATAAACAATAGACGTTAAAATGAAATGTTCAATTACAGTAAAAAATAAATATTGATATAACCATGAAACATACGGAGTCAAAGTGAAAATGAAACCTTATATAATAGTGTTGCACGGTGTACCGATACTTGAAACAGGGCTCGACATTATAAATGGCCCGCTGGCCCAGAAGCACTATTTAGACACCCCGGGCCAGCATAACGTACTTTCCACTTGCCCACTCGGGCCACTAAAAATATTGTTTTAAAAAAAATGTTTCATGTGGTATTGATATTTTGACTAGCAATTTTGTTAAATTGTTTCGTTTATCAACGCTACAACATAGCGTTTCGTGAGTCGCTTGTCGTTGTTGGGTGAAAAGCTAACAGCTGTTTGCTGCGGAGCGCAGCGCGAGCAGGCTCCCGTGAGCGGGAGCGCGCTCCTTCACTACAGACTATCGCGCCACCTTACCATTCGCCAAAATGTTTTTAATACCAGCGGTAACCGGCCAAGCGCCGGGCAAAAAACAATCTTCAAATAAAAGAAAGTCACCGGAGGAGTTAAAGGAGAGTGACAGGGAGCATGATAAGAAGAGGGAGAGAAAGTTTCAGCCAGCTTGATCGATGGAGTTGGCTTCGATAGAGTGGTGCAGTGACACGTCCTAAAACCCTTTTATAATCTATCGGTTAGATTTATGATTCGAAAATTATAAAAGTAGGGTAGACATGTGGAGATTATCCGGCTGAACAAAACGTGAATTTATCAAACAGGTTTGTTTTCCACAGACCTTATTTCCAGCTATTTTCCAAAACCATGTGGAGAAATCCCATTACTTTTTGTCGAGGGAACCAGCAGCTTACTTCCTGGTTTTAGGATGCGTCACTGGCTGCACCTCTCAATATGATGCCAATACAAACAAGGTCTTCTGTCGGCTCTGTACATCAATGCCGACCTATGCTGACAAGTAAGTGAAGAGTAGACAATATAAAAAGGTATTGGCTATAGGGAAATGTCCCAGCAGTTTAGGATAATGAAGGTTCTAATCAAATCAATTACATAGCCATTACATTTCTAACTCCTAATGACAGGAAGGCAGAAAGTGCATTATACAAATAATAATACTCATAATAATAGCAGAATCTTTTTAACAATGACCACAATATCATTATTTTAATAAACCAAATATGAACAATTGAGGAAAATGAGGAAGAACTGATTGTTCAAATGTTGTAGTACAAGTAGTAATGTAGTTAGTGCATACATTACTATTGCAACAAATGTGTTAATTTTCTTCATTATTAATCGATTTTTTTTTTTGGGACGAATGCTCCGGGCCATTGGTTACAATGGTGGGGCCAGTGATAATACAAGTCCACCGGCCCGGAGGGCCAGTGGCTTTTTACCCTTAATGTCTACCCCTGCTTGAAAGGTACCGCGATACCCTGCCGTTAAAAACGTTACGATTCCTCCGTTTCATTAGTATCGGTACTTTAAGAATGACGGGGAAAAGTACTCCGGTGAGAAAGCGCTGTTTTAATAAGAGCCGTGTGTGTTCAGCGCTCTGCTTCCACTCCCTGCACTGAAGCCGTGCCTGCAGTCCCTCCCCTCTCAAGCACGCTCAAGTGCCTCCCCTCTCTCGTGCACACGCTAGCTGCCAGAGCATGTGAGAAAACGAGAAGCATGGCTGCAAGTGGGAGTGCAACTGCCGCTGCGCCTCGGCTTGTTGACAAAAAAGACGCCAGAAGCGAAAAACAAAAAAGTTGTTTGAGATTATGCTTAATTTTATTTAATAGAATTCTTGTCATTTATTTTATTTATTGTTCTCATTGTTTAAAAGTTTGTGTTAGGGTTATGGTTCTGGTGTGAAATAAAGCACAATAGTTACATTTAAGACTGTTTCCCTTTTTTTAAGAAAAGTTATCTAAAAAGATTCGGAATCGCAATTCTTGACTTGGTATCGGTATCGAAACCAAAATGTTGGTATCGTGACAACACTATTATATATACAGTGTTGTGTTTGTAATTATAGAATATTAATGATGAGATGCACAGTTTAAAAGGGTTTGGCAGCTGATGTTGAAGTAAGGAAACAGATACGTGTACAGTAAAATAAACAAAATAGTATTATTTATAGTTGTTTCCTAATCAGTAACGACAAATGTTTTGTGTCAGGGAAAACCTGAGGACACACGTCCCCGAGTGAATTTCTAGATAACAGCTAAGGTAAGGCAGGAGCATGTTGTACCTGTGGGGTCTGGAAGCCTGAAGCATGGTTCAGCGGTGTGCACGGCTGCTGAGGGGGTGCAGCTCTGTGCGCTGCCAATGCAGAGGAAGGCATTTCAGCAACTCTCTTCACAACAGGAGTGATGAAGCTGAGGGGGGGAGAGATTGAGAGGGTGAGACTGGGCTGTTTTAATAATGCTAAAAGCAGCACATAACCTGAACCTGAATAATCCTGGAAAATGTTGGAAAGCCATAAAATCGATATCCACCGGTGATATCCGTAATGAGCTACCTCCGTGCATTACCACAGCATCTGGCTCTATATCAATCAATCAATCAATCAATGTTTATTTATATAGCCCAATATCACAAATGTTACATTTGTCTCAGTGGACTTTACAGTTTGTACAAAATATCAGTATGACAATACTGTATCTATATCTACATAGACCACTATGCTAAATTGTTTTAATGAGCATTTTGTGTCCTGTGGCTCTCTGTTTGATTATGTGACTAACTCTGCTTCTGTGATTCTGAAAAACATGTTTTGGAAAACCCTTTTAGTTTTACTCCTTTTACTGTTGATGTTGTTCGTGAAGCTTTAACCAAGTTAGATCCTAAGAAACCGGCTGGCCCGGACAACGTAGAGCCTTTCTTTTTAAAGATAGCTGCAGATTGTATTGCTCCACCTCTCACTGCTCTTTTTAACCTCTCCCTCAGCTCAAACACAATTCCAAAATTGTGGAAATCAGCGTATGTCCTGCCTCTACTAAAAGGAGGGGAGGCCACTTTATTAAATAATTATAGGCCCATCTCTAAATTATCAGTTCTGGCGAAGGTTCTTGAACGCCTAGTGAGTGAACAGGTAAAGGAGTTTTTATGTACAAATGACATCCTGTCTGAACATCAGTCGGGCTTCAGAAAGCAACATAGCACCATCACTGCCACAATGAAAGTGGTGAATGATGTGGCGAGTTTTTTTAGATAATAAGCAGAGTTGTGCAGCTCTATTTGTTGACCTTTCCAAAGCATTTGATACCGTTGATCATCGCATCTTAAAGCAGAGGCTACTCAGTATTGGCATATCCAGCCATGCAGTAGGGTGGTTTGTGAACAACATCAGGAGGATACGTCCCCAGCTGACCCAGAAAGCGACGCAGGTTCTGGTCCAGGCTCTCGTCATCTCACGCCTAGACTACTGCAACTCCCTCCTGGCTGGTCTACCTGCATGTGCCATCCGACCTCTGCAGCTCATCCAGAATGCAGCGGCTCGTCTGGTCTTCAACCTTCCTAAATTCTCCCACACCACGCCGCTCCTCCGCTCCCTTCACTGGCTTCCGGTAACTGCTAGAATCCACTTCAAGACAATGGTACTTGCTTACCATGCTGCGAATGGATCTGGCCCTTCCTACATCCAGGACATGGTTAAACCGTACACCCCAGCGCGTGCACTATGCTCTGCATCAACCAAACGGCTCGCTGCACCCTCGCTGCGAAGGGGACCCAAGTTCCCATCAGCAAAAACACGTGGGTTTGCTATCCTGGCTCCAAGATGGTGGAATGAGCTCCCCATCGACATCAGGACAGCAGATAGCTTACACACCTTCCGGCGCAGACTGAAAACTCATCTCTTTCGACTCCACTTCGAGCGATAGAACGATTAACAGAGCACTTATATACTAATAAAGGACTGGCTTATCTAAAGCCAGTTGAGTAGTACTTGAAATGTTTTTGCTCTATGAAGCCTGATGTACTTACATGATTCTGTTTTCTTCAAGTTTGTATTTTGTTGGTCGAACGCACTTATTGTACGTCGCTTTGGATAAAAGCGTCAGCTAAATGCAATGTAATGTAATGTGAACTACCTCTTTGAAAGGTCCCAATGTGTTCACTTTGATGGGCTGTCTTCTGAGTGGTTAAACATTACTAATGGTGTTCCTCAAGGTTCTCTTTTAGGTCCACTTTTATTCTCCATCTACATCAATAGTTTAGGTGAAAATGTCGATGGAGCAACCTTACAATTTTATGCGGACGATACCGTGATGTACTGTGCAGGTCCCTCCATTAACGAGGCTGTTGTTGAATTGCAAGCAGTTTTTAACATTATTCAGACTCAGCTCTCTGAATTAAAGCTTCTTTTAAATGTTGATAACACCAAGGTAATGCTCTTTTCAAAAGCTAAAAAGAAACCAGAGCCTGTTTTAGATATTGTAACTACGCAAGGAATAAAAATTGAAGTGGTTACCTGTTACAAATACCTTGGTATCTGGCTTGATGATTGTCTCACTTTTAAACGTCATGTCAATAACCTGCTTAAAAAGCTGAGGGTTAGGCTAGGTTTCTTCTCCAGGAACAAGTCCTGTTTCTCGCTTGAGGCCAGGAAAAGGCTAGTCACTGTGACCTTTTTAGCTGTGTTGGACTATGGTGATTTGATGTATATGAATGCACCTGCCCATTGCCTGAACAAGTTAGATGCTGCGTATCACAGCGCACTAAGATTTGTGACAAACTGTAAAGCATTAACGCATCACTGTACCCTGTATGCAAGGGCTGGTTTGCTTTCACTAACTGTACGCAGGCTCAGTCACTGGTACATTTTTATATATAAAGCCATGTTAGGGAAACTTCCATCCTACATCTGCTCCCTGATCTCACGGCGAATTGTAAGTGGCTACTGCCTGAGATCGCATGCTGTAGTTTTATTAAATGTGCCAACTGCTAGGACTGTCTTAGGGAAGACAGCTTTTAGATACGCAGCTCCTCTGTCTTGGAATAGTCTGCAATTGAAATGGAAACTGAGCAATCTGGTGCCACTAAATGTTTTTAAAGCTCGGTTGGATGCTACTCAATCGGAAGCTGTTGGTACCTGCTCATGTGGATATTTATTGTAAATTGTAATCCCTGTAATGATGCTGTAAAATGTCCTTTTTGTTGTTCTGTTTATGTTTTTATGTTTCATGTGGAACCTACTTGAGCAGGTCTCCCTTGAAAAAGAGATCAATGATCTCAATGGGATACACCTGGATAAATAAAGGTTTGAAATTAAATTAAATCAAAAATATTATTATTTTAGGCAAAGTAAGAGCAACTGATTCTGTTTCAGACCAGCAGAAACCCAACTGAAGAATATACCTGTTAGCAGAGGGGTTTCTGTAGCCGTTTGGAGTCTGACAGACTGTCTGTCGGTTTGGTCTGGACGGTAGATGGAAGGATGGAGTGGGGAGAGACTCAACAACACGTGGAATAGGTCTGGGGCCTGGAGGTGTTGTTTTTTTATCCTAGGATGGAAATCATTTGGAAAGATTGTGATAAAGTGACAAACAAGGGTAAAAGGATAAACATGCCTAAATCTACCAGCAAGCACACAACAGCGTACCAAAAGGATGTATTTAAGATGTTTCTGCACAAGTGTATATTTATGAAAGATTTTCACAGAAATAGCAGATGATAAAGAATGTCCTCGCACCTCTGGGGAAATGTGTCGGCTGAGGGATGTTGGAATCTTCCACTCCGATAGAGGCTCCCTGCTGGCAGCTTTGGGCTGTTCCACTGAACGGCTCACAGGGACCCGAGCAGGAAGATAAGGCTCCGGGTTTCTCCCAAAAGAAAACGCACTTGCACCTACTTGCAAATCTACAAGGAAAAAAAACAGTCAAAATTAGTGACAAACCAAGTCCAACTGAGTGCTTTAACTCTTTCGATGCTCCTCAGTGAGTCCCTACCTGTGGAATGTTCCTCCTCTCTGTTGGGCATGAGCAGTTTCTCTCCAGCTTTCAGGTTACGTAGGGCGCCCTCCAGCAGCTCTGCTGGCCTGGCGTTTAACGCCAGGGCTTTGTTCAGAATTGAAGTTGCCTTGATCACATTACCTAAAAAGCAAGGAGAAAGACATTTGTAATTTCACTGTGTTTTAAAGTGTATGCTGCACAAAGGAAACCAGAATGTGTTCCATGGAAAATGTATTTACAACGGTAAGTATAAGTGCTTTTGGTCTATTCTATGTTTCAGATTTCTGGAAACTAAAATAAATAAAAGAAGAGAAAATATGCACCTTGCGAAAGCTCAAACTGAGCATGTGCTACGTGGACGAAGGCAAAGCCTTTACAGTTGGATCTTGCAACTATGAAATGATCCTCGGCTTCTTCAGGGTCTTCAATCCTTCAAAAGAAAAAGAGAGAAATTGAGTCACAATTAAAAACCTGATGTAGCTCTGATGTTACAATTCATTTAGCCAACAATACCCTTTGTTGACTTTATGACCTGATTTTATCTTTCAGAGCAAAAACAGCCTTTTCACACAGCTGTGTACACATAGGGCTCATGAAGTATGATGATGTTAACATTTAATCTAAGATGAATTGTTATTAAAGTATTGACTGTATCACCAACACCAAAAAAGGCCTCAGGCTTGGCATAAATTCAATACTATTTTTGGGGGGGGGTTCTCTCCATTTGTATGACCCAATTCCACATTGGGTATACAGTATGTGAAGGATAAAAAAATAGAAGTTTGCAGAAATCTTACATTGTGTCTTAAATAAGAGCTGCCGAGGGGGTGTATTTTTGTAAACCAACCCAGAGGTTAGAATCGCCCTGTTGTCCCTTAAAAACCTCTTTAGTATAATTTAGTGAGTAGTTAACAAGACTTTAAGTCATGTAAAATCCCCAAGTATTGTATTAACTGACATGTTTTCACATTGGAAGGAAAGTGCAAATATCCTAACCTTGTGGTAACCACAGCCCTTATTTCAGGTCTTTTACCCAAAACCCATTGACTTTAAGACAAGGAAACCCTAAAGGTAGGGTTGGTAAGAATGGAGAAACCAGCTCGAGTGTGCAAGAATTTGAAAGTACACAACCGAAAAAAAATCTGCCCCTTCCTTCAGACTTCCTTACAAAGCCCCTCCTCTAACACACACATGACCAATGAGGGCACAAGATAAGTTTGTGCACAGATGGAAGGCTGACAAGCAGGTAGGCCATCCAATTATCTGCCGTGGGCCGAGGCAGATAAATGAAATTGCTTTTTATAGCCCCACGGCTTCCACAGATGAAATATTTGTATATATTTATTGTCAAAGCATTTCATTTATTCATTGCTATCGGGATGTTAAGAGCATTCCATGGAATATAACAAAAAGTGTTTCTGAAGTGAATTACCTACCCTACCTTTAAGTGTAAAAACCCTGGCTCATTTTCCGGTTTTAGAACAAAACAAAAAAATAAAAATCTGTAAATATGATAACACAATGAAAAGGATATTGCTAAGAAAATGATCGCAATCTTAATATTGTTTTTATCAGCAACACACATCAACACCTTAAAGACCCATGTCTTTAATGTAAATATAGTATTTTGATCCACTCACCCCTTGAGTTCTGCATATCTGACCAGTATCCTGGCATAACAGGCGTTTTTGCTGAACTTTCTTATTGGCATGTGGGAAAATATTTTAGAGTAACAGTTGTTGAGCTTATTGAGCACGATGATATCTGTGTGAGGGTTGCCTCTCTTCTCCAGGTTCGTCAGAAATGCCCAACACGACTCAGGAGAGTTGGTATTGACCACCTGGTCAAAGTTGAATGTAACATCTGGCAGGGAAAAACTCAATGTCATAAAAAAACTCAATGCCCAGTATTCATAGAGCTCTACAAGTTTGACTGGACTATCAAAAGAGTGGTGCAGGAATGATTTCTTAAATCTGGTAACGAGAAACGCCATTGCCACAAACATTAGCCACCTTTAGCTTAGCGGGGATCCCTAAAGTCATGCGTGATGTAGTTTGTTTATAACCCAATATTAGCTATTGACTTCTGGAGATAGCATTTACGCTTCAACTATTATATAAGTGTTATAAATGTGTGTTTGCCACAGATCTTATTTTCTGTAATATCCCCAAATTCTCAGGATAGTATAACTCCCATTGCTTTTAGATGAGGTAGCCCTTGCGATGCTAACTTTCCGGTTACCCTACCAAAATACGTAATCACTGCTCCACTCTGTAAGCTGCAGGACATTTAGTATCCATTACGTCACATTATTAAGGTTTTAAAGTACCGTCCATTCTGGAGGTGTCCCTGGTGCTGTGCGTGTGAAGCAGTGTGGTGGTGGAGTCCACGGCTGCCTGCTCCTCCCAGGTCTGCTCCGGGCTGACAGCTGGTGGCTGAGAACACAGCAACACAGCAGAGATATATTACACTTCTGTCTTTGAGTCAGGCTAGATATCTTCAATTCTGACATTTCTTGATCAAAGCTACTGGAGCTCATTTATACTCACTTTAAAGAATAAAATGTCTCCATCGGATGCATTTTTCATTGATGATGAAATCCCAAAAAGGGGGTTCACATTTGAACCAGATGTTTGCCTAAGACGAAATTAAGACAAGTTAAATATATAACACATACAACAGTTGAAATTCATTACAACACATGCTTAAAAAAAAGAAGTATGCTTTATGAACACAAAAATGCATCTTGGGTTCAATGTATTGCAAATTGTTTGATTTAAAAAGAAAAAAATCGTATTAATTTTGGAAATAAAACTGTTTTCCTACTTAACCTCACTTCACATCTGGAAATAAATGCTGTTATAAAGAATTACCTGGACAAACTGGAGTAGATTGATGAATCCGTTTTCCTTAAGGGCCTTTCATCGATGGAGTCATCATCTTTTTCTTGGATAGAGAAAGGTACCACGGGAACTCTCCCAAGCTGTGAAAGAAAATATATCAACAAAACTTTAAGGACTATTTGGTCATTCATTTCATGCAATATTTGCAAATTAAAAAGCCTGGTAAAGTGGGATGAAAGGAAACTCTCACCATGTCAACTGCTCTTTTGCGATGAGATCCAGATCTCCATCCTGACAGCTGCTCATCTGAGGATCCACCGTGTTGCTCTGTCCTGCACAGCGAATATCAACATGATGTGCCATACTCCCTCAACCAAACAGAGGGCTAATTAAATGTTAGAAGTTGTCAAATTGTTCTTACCCTGAACCAAAAATGCTGGAGAGCTGTAAATCGCCTGTGCCGTCTGATGTTCTGCACACTTTCTGGAATACTGAGCCTTTTTGGACCGCACTGTGTACATTACTGCTGGACGACACTGGCAGAAAGAAAACAGCAAAATGTGAAAATCAAGCAATAAATTATGATATGATAATACTGTATTGTAACAGCTTTCTACTAAAGAGATATCATGAATTAACACTCACATGGTAGATTTTCCTTGTACTCTGAACAGTAGAGTTGTGTTTTGCCTGACTGCATGCTTTTCAACGCAGCCTCAAGCAGTTCCTTTGGTTTGGCTGCCAGTTGAAGAGCATTCTGCAATATGTAAATGCCTCTCTTTGTGTTGCCTGGGAACATGATACAGCAGACACTGAAATACACCATATAAAACACACCATTAGTGTGTGGTTATATGTACTTGAAGGTCAAACAGCCCTACCTTGAGAATGTTCAAACTGTGCATGTGCAATGTGAACAAATGCAAAGTTTGGGCAGTGAGATCGCGCCACGTTGAAGTTAGCTTCAGCCTCATTCACCTCCTGAATTCTAAAAAAAGGAAAAGAGGACCAACACATTAAACGCTTATCCTACTGCTCTTTATTCTATTTAATGAAAACCAAAGACTTAAAGAAGAAAGAGGACAAAAGTCTTTGATTGGTTGCACGATTAATGACATTTGATCTAAATGGCAAAATGGTCCAGTGCAATATTTAAATCACATGATGTAGAACTTTTGTTAAAGGCAAAATGTGTGTTAAGAAACACTTGTATTAAGTATTGTGGAGCGGCAGAGAATAGATATCTAGTGACATCACTATGTAACACTTGCGTTTCTATCAGTTAGTGTTCCAAAACATTGCAGTGATAGGTTAAGGGGTGGAACATCTCTAAGCAGTTTAACAATTACAACAGAGCCGGATTTGCAATTAATTGTCTTTTCCCAAATCCTGCAGCCCCAGGCTTTGATATAAAAATAATACTTGGTGACTCACGCTTTTAGTTCTGCAAATCTGACCAACATCCTGGCATAGCTCTCATTCTCACAGTGTTTTCCCAGTGGCATATTGAAGAATACTCTGGTATAAAAGTCAATAAGTCTGGTGCGGTGGTTACGATTCATGTGAGGGTCTCCTTTCTTCTCCAGGACCAGCAAATATGAGCGGCATGATTCAGGTGAGTTAGAGCCAATAACCTGGTTAATATTGGCTGTGTCATCTGCAAAAAACACAAAGTGATGATGACTTTTTGAACTATGGACACATGAATAATGATGTAAATGGTTCCCACAGAGACCGGACTGCTGAGCATTACCTTCATCGAGTTCATTTTTTATTTTGATGATCCTTTGAGAAAGCATGGCAAGCTGCTGCTTTCTGTCTGTGTGCTCCTCTTCCATCTGAACATGAGAGGTAGATCCATAACATTAGCCCATATGCGATAGACACCAAACGCCGTTGAAAAGAATAATGCTTTAATTATGTTATACTTTGAATGACGATGTGCCAAAGTGATACACATGGCTATAGAAATTATTTTTGAACAAATAACGTTAACAAATGCAATTGTTACGTTAACACAATGACATACCTACTGTCTCTTTATTAGCGTTCTTATATATACCCATGTAAGTGTGCTTGCAAGCAAGAAGTAGTAATACAATTGTATATTGAAAAAAGATTATTGGACACTGTATTTCCAGTAGAAAAATAATACGCTCTTTCGTTTTTTTCAAGAGAGTTAGCTCAGGTAGCTAGCATGCTAACATGTTGTTAACGATCGCCGGGTTTAGCAACTAGGTTCTGCTATGGAACACAACGTTACACACATACATTTGCATTATTGTTAATGGTAAATAAATATATTTCAAAGCGTCTCACCGTGTTTATGCTGTCAATAGTCACGTTTCACTTAGAGCAAAATAAAAACCTTCAACTGCCAGTTTTCAAATTCACCGCTGGGTGATGATTGGCTAGTTCGTGTTGACGCAGCGCTTACCCTCAGACGGTCTTCTTCTTCTTTGGTGTTTATTGGCGGTTGGCAAACCAACTTGTAGGTGCATTACCGCCACCAACTGGACTGGATTGTGGACAAGAGACTGCAGAAAACAATAAACAAAATAAATCAAATCAAAGAACCAAAACTCTAGATTATTTTTAAATGTATACATTTATCTTAGAAACAAAATAATCATAGTTAGTTAGTTAGTTAGTTAGTTAGTTAGTTAGTTAGTTAGTTAGTTAGTTAGTTAGTTAGTTAGTTAGTTTTCCCTAACAGCCCTGATAGCGAAAAGTCATGGTATTTTGCTTTCTTCAGTGTCTGGAAAAGCAAATTTCTCTGAATACTATTTTACTGCAATGCAGTAAAACATGTTCAACAATTTCTGGCTTGCTACAGTGTATACACTTTCCGGTTGGATGCTTTCCTATTGATGATTGAGACCTGTATGACCTATTATCATCCGATAAATGACATTTTCCTCCCTTCTTTTAAACCCCACCTTCCTTCCATCCCCCACCTACCTTTGAATTTCCACCAGTTCATTACCCTCCACACCAACATGAGCAGGAACCCAGATGAAACGAGTTGCTATGCCTTTGATTTGCATTTGATATAAAATTAGAAATATTTTATTTATCATGTCCATTCTAAATGAAGATCTGCCTGATCGTATACTCGATAATGCTGAAAAGCTGTCAGATGCAATTACACTATTATGTATTTATTTCTCCTCTATCCAGTTCAATGACAACACCAATGCCAACAACTCTGTGGTGTATACTGACACATGGTCTGTTACCCTTTTCTTTATATGTGTATTACTCACTGGGATATAAACTGCTGCCCCTGCATGCCCTGTCTCTTGATCTTTGGAGCCATCTGTAAGTATGATTATTGAGTCTGAGTGATATCTTGCAAAAATAATTCTAGAGACTATGCGCCATACTGGTAGTAGTTCTTTATTTTCCTTCAACTCTTTTTGTATATTGAGGTCTACCCTTGGCATTGGGAATAACCAGGGTGGAATGGACGAGATTGGAACTGTGGGGCAATACTGTATTTTATTCAAACCTATACTTGCTGCTTTAACATCGCCAATCCATCCAAAACTTGTTAAATGTGACTCATTGTGCTCCCAGCAGTCTTTCAAAAATACTTTTCGCAGGGTGACTATCACTATGCCCCTGAAGGTTTACCCAGTATGCCAACATTAACTTCACTCTTCTTATCCTTAAAGGCATTTCTCCCATTTCCACCTGTATTGCTGATACTGGAGATGTTTTAAAAGCTCCACTACAAATTCTCAGGGCCTGAGCTTCTAGGACATCCAGCTTTTTAAGGTTTGATTCTGCTGCTGCCACGAACGCATACACCCATAATCTAATACAGGTCTCATGAGTGCCCAATATTATGTTTTTTCCCGCCAAACACCGAAGTACATTGTTGACCTTTTTACATTTATTTTGAACTTTTCCTATATGATTGCTCCATGTTAACTTTCCGTCAAACCAAACACCAAGAAATCTTATTGTATTTACCTGTTCAAGAGGTTGCTCATACCATTTTAACGATATAGGAGCAATTTTATGCCGTTTTGTAAAACAAATGACCTGCGTCTTAGCTACTGACAGTTTGAATCCCCATTTATTTGTCCATTTCTCCACTTCAACTATTGCAGCTTGTATTTTCTTTCCAACATGTGCTACATTGCAGCCTTTTGCCCACAAAGTCTCATCATCTGCATACAAAGATTTTCCCACACTTGGATGAACTTGATTAAAAATGTCATGTATCATTATATTGAACAGCAACAGACTACATACACTACCTTGCGGAGTACCATTTTCCACAGCATAAACACTTGAATATTCTGCACCTACTCTTACTTGTATTTTCCTGTCCAGTAAAAAATTCATAACCCAATTATATGCTTTACCACCAATTCCCAATGATTTTAACTTGATTAGTAGTCCTTCCTTCCAGAGCATGTCATAAGCTTTTTCAATATCAAAGAAGACTGCAATCACTACTTCCTTGTTGGTCTGTGCTTTCCTGATGTCTGATTCTAAGCACAATATAGAATCCATTGTATTCCGATCCCTACGGAACCCACTTTAATATGGGGACAACAGAGCTTTACTTTCTAAGATATATGTTAACCTTTCTGTAACCATTCTTTCCATGATTTTGCAATAGGTCTGTAGCTAGATGGATCTGAAGGGTCTTTCCCTGGCTTTAGGATGGGTACTATTATCGCTTGTTTCCACACTGAAGGAAGTTGGCCAGAATCCCACACCCTGTTAAGCAATCTTAACACAATGACTAGAGTGTTATCTGTCATGTGTTCCAACATTTTATAACAAACACCATCTTTCCCAGGAGTGGTTTGACGAGCACTAATAATTGCTCTTCTCAACTCAAAAATACTAAAATGCAGGTCCAACTGATCCCCTAACACTTCTACTCTATCCAATATTCTCGGGTTTTCCATGAGTGTATTATTTCTGCACTGCCTGGCTTCCTCTGTAAGGTTATCTGAACTATGAACTTTCCTAAATGTTTGAGCTAGGAATTCCGCCTTTCCTAAGTTTGTGACAGCCATTATGTCCCCTCTGCTCAAAACTGGCAACTCATAATTCCTTCGAATTCCCCCCATTCTCCTAATCATGCCCCAAACATCTGCAAGCTGTACTTCTCTTCCAATGGTATTGCAATATTGCCTCCAAAAAGTGTGTTTCTTATTGTTCTCCTTACTATAGCCTGGGCCCTTTTATACTGATTCAAAGCTTCCTGAGAATGGAGTTGTTTGAGTTGCCTGAATGCTTTATTTCTTTAATGGATTTGTTATATTCACTATTCCACCAGGGTACACTCTTGGTACGCCTAACTCCTGCAATTTCCGGAATTGTTTCTTTAGCTGAATGAATGATAACCTTAACCAGCTCATCATTTAATTTATTTCATCATAATTCTCCTCTTGAAGTGTTCTACATCTATTCATATTTACAACTTAGAAGGCATCCCAATTAGCCTTTCCCAATTTTCATAGGAATTTTCTTTTCCTTTTCAAAATTATGTTGGTCCCAACTTTAATCATTACCGGATAATGATCACTGCCCACTGCTTTATGCTTTATGCTTTACCACATTCCATGTACTTATACCTGCTATAGCAATACATACAAATGTCAGATCAAGTACTGTTTCTATATTCTTCGTGCAATTATATCGTGTTCCTTCTCCAGTGTTAATACACACTAGCCCGTGGTCATCTATAAATTCCTCAACTACTGCACCATTTGCATCTGTACTACTGCTTCCCCATAGCGAGTTATGTGAATTAAAATCCCCACACCATATTACTTTGTCTTGCAGTGAACCCCCAGCATCCTCTAATATACTTTGATCTAATTTCCCACATGGATTATAATCATTTACTATATCTATAGGTCCTCTATCATTCCATACCCTTATAACTATTGCTTCATGATCTGTACTTACATGCATAGCCTCAGACGGTCTGGAAAACATGTAAATGACATGTTCTCCGTCGTTTAGTCTAATTAAAAAAAAAAGAAATTAAAAAAAAAATGTACACAAAATAATATGCAATCCAAAATTCAAAACGAGTAGCCCCGCTACTACAAGTCTTTTTGTATCATTACTACATTGTTAAATGATCACTGGATTGAGGGGAGCGGCTGAAATCCCGGAAGTAACTTAATAACAATAATGTTTTATTATGGCTGCAAATTATCCAGAGAGAGTGTGTCTAACAGCAAACATACTCAAATTCAGCGTCATTCAAATGCAATAATCATATAGCACAAGAGAAAATAATTGTATTCTAAATCATCTTTAATTATTAAATGGTGCATTAACATGTTATCAATAGTCTTTGCAGTGAATATATGATTAGACTTAAATAAAACAAAACATACTTTAACTCAATGAAACTTTTAAAGTTACAGTTCTGTTATTATTATTTGTACTCATAATATGCAGTTACAATGGATATATTTTTAATTAATGGTTTTACATAACAAATCATAAATACATCATGTTATCAGCAGCCTATGACTATACAGTATGCAGTGGGTTTGTTGCCAACTCTCCATGGGCAGTTGTTGGGGCAAATCCAAGGAATAATTTAGAGTTCCCAATTAACCCTGTATGGAAATAAAAGTATTTCAAGATAACTCTTATCTCAATAGATCCTCATAGCTCCCTTGTAATTCCAACCATATTTGTCACAGTCCCAAACATTTTGAATACAAAACATATTGTTCAGATGCGCTTATTGTTTTGAAAAATCTTCTATTCTATTTTACAAGTTTATATCTTACTTATTTCTGCATTTACCTGAACATTGGGTCACTTGCACCATTCTCTTGCACTATTTTATTTCTCTGTATTTCTGTTTGCACTATTATGTCCTTTTGTGTTATTTTTTTCCATAATAATACGATAGTAAATTTGTCATAAATTATATAAAGTAATATACTCGGCTGGGTGACATGCTGTTTGATACTCATGTTACCTGTCACTGTAAATAGAGTTTTGTAAACTGTACCCTGTAATTTATGTTGTATGTCGTCCTTATTGTTGTCCTGTTGTTTTTATGTTACATGTGAAAAATAGATATTTTTATCTCAAGGGGCTTTCACCTGATTAAATAAAGGCTACAAACAAACAAACAAACAATATGTTGCAGTGTTGGAAGAGCCTTGAACTTAAGCTTTTCATTGCCATAACTGTGCCATTGTGCATGTAACAATAAAGCCTTTGAGTCTTGAATCTTGAACCAAAGCGATTCTCGCCGTTACATGTATTCCGTTACAACCCAACCCTGTGTACAGATCATCAGTCCTGTGGTCCTGTGTACAGATCAGTTCGATAAAGTTATGCCAAAACAGCGACATTTTACACGATAAATACGGGTTTAAATAGCAGCATTTGCCACAGAAGGCGAGTGGCAGCTACCGTAAACCCAGGGTCGGCGTCATGGGGGGTCATTCGCGGGCCATGCCCCCCCAAATGAG